AAGTGTGGGATAATAAACCATCTCTGTAAAGGAAATGTAATAAATGGGCCCCAGTGTTCTTTGATTGTTTCTTAATGAAAACATAGTTTTCCAATGATTGGAAAACAGAAAGGAGAGAAAAATGCAGTTAGGACATGTTAGAGATGGCCCCAGAGCTATGATTATTGAGGCCCCTTTTTATGCTGTTGAGATCCCTGTACCACAAATGCCTGCTATTTTCAGTCTTCTCAGCTAAGTTTACTCATGGAAATTTATTCCTGTTGTGCAACTGTCCATCTATTAAAAAAGAAGTAAAGAGTCAGTCCAAACCCTGTGCTCATGTTGGTTTTGGAGTTCTAGGAGCAGAAAAGTTACACTTGAGTGAAACACTAACTACTTGCCTAACTGTGAGAACCTATTGTACTTTGTGGCCTAGCTTTGTACTGTCAGGCTTAGCCCCACAGCGCCTCCTGCTGACCTCAAATGCTGAGTCTGCATTCTATCGGACACTGTCCAACTACCCCAGAAAGGATTCTTGACTTTTGCAAATGCATCTTTCCAATGGTGCCATTAAACATACATGTCCTCTGTGTAGTGTTTGGGGATATGGTCATGTTTCTTTAAGGACAAGATGACATCTGAATAAGTGCAAATGTGCTTCATACTGATTTTGTTATCAGATGTTTAGGTAATAGCAGGTATTTGAGTTTACTTAAGCTAGGTTCCTACCACCACTCTCAGTCTATGCTGATCCTGGGCTAAATGTCAGCCTTAATGTTTTTCAAAGTCCCCAGATGATTCATATGGTAATAATTCCACATAGATTACACTTACATATTAGCTTATTTGATGGTGTTTTGTGGAAGAGTTTCCTTTTGTACAAAAATACACAATCTAAAGATAAATGTTTAAAGATCATTACTATTAGTGGCTAAGCCCTCCATTTAGTGAGTCTTTCCCACTCTTGTCCTTATAAACTTCATATTATCCCAATCTCTTTGGAACCTGACTCACTTTATAAGTTAGAGTGACATAGACTTCGCTGGGGTTTTGCTACAGCAAACAAAAACACAAAAACGACACCCAGGATTTGGAGGCAGATTTATTTTATGTCGATGGGCACTGATTAGGATCATTCCCAAAATATCAAGCCCAATCTCTGGTGGTCTAGGGCTTTTATATGGTGCATAAGCAGGAGGTACAAAGGCAGGACAGAACTGCCTAGCGGTTCTGATTAGCCAGCTGGGTGAGAATATCAGTTACAAACGTAGATTAATGATCATTGAGCTTGTTACAATCAGACATCCAGCATGTTTGGTTATGCTTTCATGGTTACATGGGTCAAGAAAGTAATTACAGAGCCATGAAGCAGTTACAGAACTAGGCAGTTTCAGAAAGAACAAAGTTTTAAAAAGAACAATTTCTCTTCTACAATTTTTTCCTTTCAGTTTGACTTATATAACTTATATGCCAAGGAACTAATATTTATCCAGATTCATCCCACCCAAAGATTAAGAAAGGAACAAATGTTAGAAGTTGTAGTATTAAGCCATAAAAATCAGCATAAGATGAGTTGAGAGTCACATCCTTAATAGAGACTGGAGGAATCAGACCAGCACATTTTTAAAATTTATTTTAAAAATAAAAGATGGAAAACATATTCACAAGCAAACATCCATTTACAAAATAGCAAAGAACAATGCAAACAATACAGAGCTACAGACAAAGTTGTAGAAAATTAAAAATGATTGCTGTATTATGTATTAATATCTTCAAAGTGGTTTCTCAGGAAAATAAATAGAGACATGCAAGATTGATCAAACAAGTAATCATTAACTGTTCCTTACAGTTAAGCAATAGAAAACAGTAGAACAACTATGTTGGCTATCCTGTGTATACATACATACATAATTTCCCCTTCTTTTCCCACACCTCAGTTGCCCTTTACTTATGAACATTTTCCTTTCTTTTCACAATGTCTATCACACCTCCTAATTTTTATTCACTTTTTCAGGTTCTTGCACTAGTGTGACAGTATGCTGCTTACACATGCAGGTCTGATTTGTTTCACTTATGAGTATGGTCTTTAGTTGTGATCATTTACCTATAAAAGCCTCAAGTTTATCTTTCTTTATAGCTGAGTAATATTCCATTATATAAAAGTGCCACAATTTTTTTTGTCCAATCCTCAGTGGATGGACATTTGGGTTGCTTCCACAATTTAGCAATTACAAATTGTGCCGCTATGAACATGGCTGCACATATATCGCTGTGATATGATGTTTTCAGATCTTCTGGGAAAATACCCAGAAGGGGAATAGCTGGGTTGAATGGGACCTCCAGTCCTAGTTTTCTGAGGAATCTCCAAACTGATTTCCACAGTGGTTTCCCAGTCTGCATTTCACCAACAGTGGAGAAGAGTTCCTATTTCTCCACAGCCTCACCAGCATTTGTTATTGGTTGATTTCTTAATGCTAACCATTCTTACCGGGGTGAGATGAAATCTCATTGTTGTTTTAATTTGCATTTCTTGAACGACTAATGATGTTGAACACTTTCTCATGTATTTGTTTGCCACTTGTATTTCTTTATCTGAGAAGTGTGTATTAATCTCAGCTGCCCATTTTTGGATTGGGTCTTTGAATTTTGAGGGGCTCATGTTTTTAATGCTTTATATGCTCTAGATAGAAGTCCTCTGTCTGAAGGACAGTCAGCTAAACTTTTTTCCCAATTTGTGGGTTTCCTTTTTACTCTGCTGGTGATTTCTTTAGATGTGCAGAAAATTTTCAGTAGGATGAGATCCCAGTTGTTGATTCTTTAAAGTATTTCCCATGCAGTTTGGTTTTTGTTCATGAAATCTCTGACTACCTCTATGTCTCCAAGGTTTTTACCTACTTTCTGTTCCAATAGATTTAGTATTTCTGTTTTAATATTGAGCTCTTTGGTCCATTTTGACTTTAGTTTGGTGCATGGTGATAGACTTGGGTCTATTTTCAGTCTTTGGCGGGTGGCAAGCCAATTTTTCCAGCACCATTTATTAAAGATGCTATCATTCTTCCAGTGAGTTTGGCCCCTTTATCAAAGATTAGGTGATCTTCTGCAGACCAGCACCTTGAGACTGAGGCAGCATTCAGACACATCCCTTAGTTCTCATGCTCCTAAAGTTTCAATTTACCAAACTCACAAGCTGCTCATCCCTCAGCTCCCCCAAGCTGCTTGCTACCACTCCTCCCTTTTGCTCTTGTTGCTTTTGCTATCTTCTATCACCATAAACAGTTGCCCTCTGCCATGTGCCACACTGCTTTGGAGCCAGCTGAATATGGACTGAAACTTCCACAGACTGTGAACTAAATAAACCTTTCCTTCCTTAATTTTTGGGGTCAGGTATTTTGTCTCAGCAATGAGAGAAAATTAACTAAGACACATATATATTATATGGGGGGATCAGCAGAGACTGCCAGGCTTGTATAAAGACAACATGGCATAGAATTTATTGTGCCTAGGGCTGGGGATTTAGCTCAGCGGCAAAAGTGCCTGCCTGGCAAGCGCAAGGTCATGAGTTCGGTTCCCGGTACCGGAGAAAAACAAAAAAAAAAAAAAAAAAAAAAAAAAAGAATTTATTGTGCCTGGGTGTAGGGAGGCTGAGAACATGATAAGATCATCTGCCTTGAAGAAAGAGAGGTGTGTACCTTTTATATGGAAGGAGAGAAGACAAGGGAATTAGGTGGGATGAGACAAATAAATAACTGTAGTCAAAGTTCTCTGGCAGTCTTACATCTCAGTAAACAGAGTCCTTGAAGTGTCCAGTGAAAATTCTCATGTGTTTTCAGATGTCCCCAGATATCCCAGAACCTGCAAAATTCCTTGTCCTATCTTATCTCCTTTCCTGTGCTTGCCATCACAACTTTGGTACTAAGCTGAGTTCCCTGCTGAGAGCTGAGTTTCCTGCAGACAGTAGTGCTTCTGCTAGCAAGCAGGCTGGGAGCTGGGGGAGTCAGGTCCACTTTGAAACACACATTCATCTGTTGATGGCCATAAAAGCTATTTCCAAGGGTTAGCTATTGCAAATTGTGCTGCTATAAATATGGATGTGTAGTAGACTCTCTTGTGGTGAGATGGTTACTACATAGCCTTACTCAATGGGGAGCCAGATGATGGTCCTGGTGCTCACTGAGGACAAAGGCAGTTTCATTCCATTGTGGAGAAAACTCTGCTTAACACCCTTAAAGCCACAGAAGCCTGCTTTCTCTGAGCCTCAGGAGGAAAAGAAAGTTCCCCAAAACAGGCTGGAAGTAGCAGGCACAGGAAAATGTGACCTCACTCTGGAGCAATGCAGTGGAGGTAGGGTGGAAACACACTGGACCCAGTGACCAACCAGCACTTCTCAGACAATACATGTCTCTCAGTGAGGTCTAGACCCTGGCATGTTCACATGTGGGATCAAACACTTCCTCCCTACTCCGTCATCTATTTGAAGGGAGAGTGAGCCCTGCGAAGTAATACACTGCTCTGCTACTGCGGACGTGATCAGGATGAGGATGTGTTTACTGTTAGGTAACCATGTTGATCCAGTGAAGAACATAACTAGACTGAATCTAGGATTTGGAGCAAGACTTCCCCTTCTGGAGGAGAATCTGAGTCAAGCCTATTGAGCTAAGCTTTTCGTGAACAGGCTTAGCTGTGGCAGATGGCAGGAAAGTGAGGGCTCAGTGAAGCAAGAATGGCGGAGTATGTGCCCATAGCAATGGCTAATGTTCTTCTGTGGGTGTGCTGTGACCTAGCAGGTTGAGTGAGTGCACCATGTCCAAGCAGAGAAGACATTGCTCAGTGGGCTCAGGTAGCTGGGAACTCCCATTCTAGAGACTCAGGCACTGATAAGGGGTGTGGGACCCATCATCTACAACGGTTCAAATTAACATCTTTACTAAGGAAATTGAAGATATTTTCACTCCTTTTTTTCCCCTAGGAAAATCTGGTGTTTGCTAAAAACAATGACAACAGAAGTTACTCTCTAAACTACACTAGGTCAGACCCACCAGTAGCAGTAATTGCATCAGGGAACAGAGAGGAGATATTTGTCTCACTTCCTTGTGGGGTGGGAGCACAGTGTAATTCTTTGTATTGCCATCCCAGGTGCCACAGTAGTAGTCTGCCTCATCCTCAGGCTGAACACCAGATATGTGCAGAGTGACTGTATTAACTGAGGCATCTTTGGATCCAGAGAAGTGGCTGGGGGCCATGGAGTCCTCATACCCATCTGTATGTGTGTGATGGTGCAGCAGATACTGGGGAGGACTCTCCGGCTTATGCTGTATCCAGAATATGATGTGGATGTTCACACTGAAGCCACTGCTCAGGGTGCATGTGAGTCTGGCAGATGCTCCTTGAGACAGAGAGAGGGAGGGCGGCTGAGTCAGCCCAGACTGGCACAGAGAACCTGCAAGAACAAATACATATGGAGGACAGTGTAGGGATGAAGTTTTCCAAGGGGCTGAGCAAGAAAAGACAGACTCAGGCTTCAGGCTACCCTGTGGTTGAAAGGTCTGTCCCTACCTGTGCAGTGAGACAGGAGAAGTAGAAGGAGAAGACTCCAACTCATGCTGGACACAACCCCTGAGCTCAACAGTGAGGTTAGGCTGCCCCAGGCCTGCTTTTCTTTCTCCCCCAGCCAGAATAGGGTTTTTCATGCAAATATGTTTTCATAAGTCCTGCCTCAGCCCCTCCCTGAGCTCTGATACTTAAGCTCAGCTCCCAGTGCAGATTGAGGAGGATGAAGGTTTGCTTTACCCCTTGGGAGAGCCTTAGGAGGAAGTACCTGCTGAAAGAACATAAAGACATTTACTCATAGAAATCTGCCGAACCAGAGGACACACAGCTGCTGAGTCCCCATCAGTAACACAGAGCCCAGCCTCCATGACAGCAAGCCTTTGAGCTGATAGTCCTTATTAAGCAATTTTGTAGGGAGTGCAAGGCAGTTCCACAGTGCCTCCTGCTGGTCACAGGACACATACCTGCTTCTGGCCCAGAGACCTAAAACCTAGCTAGGTTTTGCATTTTAACAAGTCACTATCTCTTTTTACACAGTGCTGTGATTTTGACATGCTTTGATTCCCTCAAATGTATTTCTGGAATCCGGAAGGGTACATAAATGACAACTTGGGGTGTTAGTTATCGCATAGAAGAGACTGAAAACATATTATTCCATTGGTCTATAACCTAACATATATATTTATGATTGGTTTTATTGTTGTTGCTGCTGCTGCTGGGGCTATTCTTATTGTTGTTGCTATTGTTGTTATAAGACTGGGGTTTGAAGCCAAGGGTCTTTGCACTGAGCTATACAGTCAGGCAATCTTTAATATTTTTTATTTGAGACAGCATCTTGCTAAGTTGCTGAGTTGAGCAGGCTGGGTTGAAATATGTGATCGTCCTGTGTTGGCCTCCCATAGTGCTGGGGTTGCAGATGTGCATATCACCATACCTTGCATATTTCTATGGTTTTATAATTCTTGTTTATCAAAAATATATTTGAACCACATGCCATATGAATTTATCTATGTCTTAATTTTCCATTTGTAACACTTCTAATTCACACACTGTCTGATAGAGTAAAGAAAGTACAGTGAATCCTAAGGTTTGAATGTACGGGCAGCCAGTGTACCATATTGTACCAAAAGAAAGCATCACTTGTCAGATACATTCTCATGAACTCATTAATCACCTTCCTTCATCCACTCACAGTGTAGATGCATTTATTCTGTGGAAACAGAATTTAAATCCCATCATTGTTTCTTCATGAGTTTTCTCACAAGGGTTTTTGAGAAATTAAAGTGATTATGAGATGGTACTTGATCTCTCTTGTGAGGCTATATCTGTGTGATCTGCTCCACGTGTCTTGAAATGTGCCTCTGCCTTCTGATCTCAATTTGAATGATCCACTCTTCGTACCACTGAGATCTGCTTTGGAGTATGCTTTAAGTAAATCTCCAGGGTCATTCTCCCTGTTCATGGGTCACTATCCTGTGCCACTGTATATTTTCTTATCATATCAGTTGTATTGTATATTGTCTGACAGCTTGTGGTAGAAGGATACCTGAGACCTATTACAACATCATGGCTGGAGACACTGACACTGTCTGATTTTCAGAAATCTTCTCTCAGATTGTGAGTCTTCTAAATCTATTCAGCTCTAGTATTTCCTAAATTCTCAGAAAAGTCTTAACATGATACTCACTTTGGCCCCAAGATAAATCTGAAGTACCATATCTCTACTATTTATGCTAGTCCTGTCATTGTCCCTCTGCTATTACTAAGTTTTGTTACTTAAAATTTCTTTAGAGAAAAGTACCTGCACAGGTCTTCAAAATCCTAAAACCCTGTCCCTGCAGAATAATAGTCCCTTTCATTTTTCCTTAACATGGAAATTTCTGGTGTGATAAAATATGTAATTGGGTAATTTCAAATTATATTTTATAAATTTAATTTGCAGTATGTCAATGATATTCTAATTTTCAGCAAAGAAAATGTTCTATCTTGCAGACCAGGGATTTATAGGATGTAATTTTAGAAGAATTATTTAAGTTCTATGTAAAAAGAGTTCCACTTGTCAGATCTTTTATCTGTGAAACCAAATATAAAGCCCCTGAAAATCTATTTGATAAGTTCAGGCCAAGAAGCAAAGTCATGACTTTCTCCATTAGAAGTTACTGTTTTGTCAACTGTATCTGTGTTCCTCAATCCAGGAAAATGACAATAGTGGAACACAGTTCCCCCTTTTATCCAAGATGTTAACACCTACAGTTACACAAATAAGGGTCTTTAAATGGTGACACCTCCAGACAGTGCTGAATTTTGCATTCCAGGCCCTACATTAGACCCTTCAGAGATGGTACAAGAAGTTAGTGTTCCCACAGTGATTCCTTGGGCAGTGTGTTATATTAAGACAAGCTTCAGATTCAAAGCACAAAGATGTTCAGCCATAATAATAGTGGCCCAAAAGTGGTCTCAAAATGATGCCAAACTAGTTTAAATAGTGAAGAAAATTGAAGAGAGCACAGCTGATATGTAGCCAATGTTCCAAACACATCAAAGGATTAAGAGCTTCTGTAATACTGAACATAATCCCATCATGTGGTCAGTGGAAAATCACAGCTAAATAAGTTTCCACAGCACAAGGAAGGTGTCTCCCCACATCAGTTCAGATGGACCATGATCCCATGATTCCATATTAAAAGTAATGATGATTTTCACTGTGTATCACCTGCAAACACATACTGGTCATATTATGTGGTTTCAGCACCAAGACTTCACTGGGACATTTGTAAGAGGTAACTTAGCAGAGCTCACGGCATTTCTATTTTTTGTTTCTTTGTTTGTTTGTTTGTTTTGTGCTACCGGGAATCGAATTCATGACCTTGTGCTTGCCAGGCAGGAGCTGTGCCACTGAGCTAAATCCCCAGTCTGTCTACTTTCATGATATAAACAACAAGAAGAGGATTGGATCATGGGAATCTGGGTAGAATTGGAGCATATGCTAGTGAAGTACCCTTGAGATCATCTATTCAGTGGTTGAAAGCTATGCAAGAAGTGATGAGGAAAAAGAATCTCAGGGATATTTACAATTTGTGTTCAATGCAAGTCAAGTCCATAACATGAGGAGTTACTATGAATCAAAGCATAAATATACAAACACAATATACAATCCAAACCGATGTGCAGCATTTGGATATGAAGCAAAAGGGATTGTTCATTCACACACACAGTAGCTTGAGATCTATTTGGTATGGCTCTTCCTGTGTAGATTTCTAAAGATGGGCAAGAAATGACTTGGATTATGTCAAGACTACTGTGGTCCAATTAGATACTGGAACATGTAAGCATCAGTGTGTGACCATGTGAACAGAGAGTTCAGGGTGTGTCTTTTTTAAAAAAGGTTTCTGTGTATCAAGGCTGTTGTAAAAGGCTTACAGCAAACATCAAGGCTTAGCACCAGTTCTATCTAAAAATATTGACTGATAACAGAACGAGTTCCAAATGTTGTTATCGTGATCCATAGTTTTTTAAAAAAGTACTTACAGAAAAAAAAAGTTTTTGCAAATTTAATGCAAGTTAGCTTTCAGCCTTCACTTCCCAAATGCTTATTTAGTTTTAGGTCCTTCACATATTTGCCTTTCTAATTTCAACATATGTAATTTTATCTTCAAAACAGACTATTTTTAATTGTGAAAAGTATTCAACATATACAGAAATTTTAAAAGCAGTATTTTGGAATTAGTTGAGGTCAATACAAGTCTACTCTTTGGAATCAGTTTAGCTAAATGAATCTGGTGCTTTTATTGAATGAAAATGGGGCAGATGCCTACAATTTTGCTTTAGAAAAATGTACTCAAGAAGCTTAGATTTGGGGATGGGTCTACTAATCTTATCCTGGCACATGTCAATTACTACATAAAAAGTCAAAGGTAATGTTAAATCCAAAGCCACAGAGGGCAGAGAAAAAGAAAGAGTTCAGTTCCCAAGAAAACAGTGATAGCTTAACAATGCAAAACTTTATTTAGAGGATATCAGCTTTAAATTGGTAGAGCTGAAATGACATTCTGAGGAGTTACAGTAACATCTGGTAGATCCTTCTAATGTACATATAAATAGCAGATGGAAGCTTCTTATACTATCTAACTCTATGGTCTTAGAGATTTAATGAACCAAATGAAAACTTAATCTCCATTCCACATCCCATCTTTTATTTCTAGATAAAATCTATTCTTGTTTTCAAGGTACAGTTTCAAGCATCCATATTTCTTAAGCCATGATCGAGGAAATCATGGTCAGTCTTGGAATGTTCTCGCCCTTCATCTTGTACCAAAAAAAAAAAAAAAAAACAAAACAAAAAACAGGAGGTTTAGTATTAGCATTCATCATCTGTCAAGCTCTTGACAAGTCCTTAAAATGAAACAAATTTGGAATTTCAACATTTTCTGCATCAATAAAATAAGGTGTGGAATTAGATTTCTTCCTTACCACACTGGACTTGCAGTAGCCACTTGAACTCGGGGAAGTAGAGATGTTTCTTAGAGTCTCCAACAGTACAGATGTAGAAGAGAGATTGACACCACAGGGAAAATGGCTGTTGACTTCAGGACACCACTGCCTGCCTTGGAGGTGGCATTATTGGATTTGGGATAGTAAAGGTGTTCTGGGAGGTGTTACTTGAAGGTGGCATGGCAGCAGTTTGGTTTGAATGAATGTACATGGGTAGGAGCAGTGCCAGGAGCAGCAGCCCCAGCCCCAGGCTGGCCACCATCACTCTGTCCATGTTCCCTCCGTCGGAGCATGGCTCAGCTCACTGGAGGCCAGGTACCTGGAGTTCAGTCAGCTGAGGCTGGTGCAGGCAAGTTTTGCCGGCCCACTTTTTAAAGAATACATTCTTTCTCATCAGAAGTTTGGTAGGAATAGGAACAGGATGTGATGGCACATGCCTGTAATTCCAGAGCTTGGAAGGTTGAGGCAGGAGGATTATTGTGAGTTTGAGGCCAACCTATGCCCTACCAACCGACCACATCAACTTGGTCCCCAGTGAAATTATTCTGACTTGGAGAAATGTGCTTGCAATGTTATAATTCTCTCTCTCTCTCT